TGTATAACAATCCCTTTGTTCATTTCCTCAAAAGCCTTTTATAATTCTCCTGATTTATCTGTCTAGTTTTTTACATATACGATCAGCTTGCACATGTCCAAGAGTAAAGTATTCATGGATTTTAAGGGGATTCAAGCTCAGGTACTGTTTATTTCACCAGTTTAAATCTATTTAAGCAGGACTACACAAATCCTATGGTCGGCCTGCATGGGTATTTGTGATCAGGGCATTATTCTAGCTGTTTCTGTGTTTCGTTGTTGTCCAGACATACCTGATCTGGCTTTACACTAACTGTCTACACTAACTTAAAAGCTGGCTTCTTAAGCGAGCTTTGCAGGCAGCATTGAATTCACAACTCCTGTGGCTAGGCGTCTTCTGAACTGCCTAAAGTTTGTGGACAAATTTCACTCGGATGTGTCTTTGCAACGTGATAGTCACAAGGCTGACTGGAATGTACACTCTGTCTGTCTCAAAGCCATGGCGTTTGGATCAGATGGGGACTATTAGCTAAACATTGGCATGACCTTAGTTTTGTTTGCAAGATTGGCTTGATAAATCCCCTCCTCAATTAAAACCAACATATTTGAAGATGAAATGATTGTGATAAGCAGTTGCTAACCTTGGATAGCACTGTGTAGCAGCATAACACTGCAATTACTTGGATGTGCTTACATTGTCTTTTAGGGAAAGTTAACTACCATATATTGAAGAATATTTCAAAGAACTTTGAGAATGTTGGTACATTTGTTGACAACCTTTAATTGCTCTCCTGCATGTGATATACACATGGTTCTGCCAGTAACTTTTCTAAGTTTCTGATGGCTCTTTGGAACTATTTTGGGCTGATGCCGATATCAAAACGGTACTGGAGCTGAGTATCCATTTGTAATCTTATTGCCAACTTTTAGAGAGGTATTAACACTTTCATTGTTCAATCAACAAGACTATGAAGACTTTCTTAGTTCAAGAAAAAAGGCTCCATCTGCAGCTCAGCAACTCCATGCATGGCTTAAATCAGTCCACGAACTGAGTGTTCACAAATGCATGTAGTATACAGAAAAACTGAGCAGGCCTTGAAATAATTGGTAATGTAACTATTTATGTCTTCCATGAAACTCAGTTTATTTTGAAGACTAGTAGAGGGTTAGTTCTTTCTAATAAGACGTGGTAACTTTAAGACTCAGTTATTTGCTTTTTCATAATGCATTTTGGATGAAGTGATCTTAAAATCTTTACCTCATTATGGGTGGTATTTTGAATTAAAATCCTATGATAACAAATCTAAAATACCTGATGGTTCTCCCGGTTTATATCTGTTTATATCCATGAGGGACCATGTGCAACAAGAACTGTACTTTTCTGTTTTTTCTTTCAAAACCTGAACACATATTTACCATACAATTGTATTAAAATTGTATTTTTTTGCCTCTGCCTAGGAAAACAAAATATCATTCAAGGGAACTTTCAGTCTTTTTTGTTGTTGTAGTGATATAATAGCTTACCTGCATTTTTTTAATTTGGATTTCACTGGGAATGTCTGAGGCTAGATGCTGATTTAATTTGACATAAGAAATGGCTGCTGCTTAGTTTTCTTCTGTTTCAAGGTTAGACCTTTACTGTGAGTAAGACCAAATTGTAGCACTAACAAGCAGTGCTTCATTTTTTTGCACTGGAAAAGAGTTTGGCCCAGCACATTCAGGAGAAATTATCATCTCATAATCTATTTATAGTCTTAACTGCAATGATTAAACAAAAATGGATTCTGAGCACTGTGTTCTGGTCCTGAGCTTTGTTCCTGATCGTGCCAAGATTCAATTGCATGCCAATTTGCATCACTAAGTCTAGACCCATTAATGTTCACCAGAACTCCTTAGTGTTGAACTTCCAGCTAGATATGTTCATAAGCCCTAAAAAAATCAGAGCCCTTTATTCCATGTATGCTATCTTGGTAAAAGAGCTAGCTGTAGTTCCCCGCTATTACCAATTCCTATGTAATGACATTTATTACTGCATTTTGAGGCAAGTCTCATTACCAGAAGCTGCTAGACTCCTATTTAGTTATTAGCTGGGTACAATTATAGTTGCATTAATCAGTTATGCTTGTTTAGCTGAGTTCAGATTTTCTTTTGCTGAAGGGAAGATCCGAGTTCATAAGCCAGTACTTCAGACAATTTGAAACCATGACCTTAAATAATCCTGGATGTTCTGACCATATTCAAAGAAGTGTGTGGTACCTAATGAATTAGAGAGAATGGTTCTCATCTTTAACCACTATTTGTACCCACTTTAATGTCTGTTTTTGCAACATTAGATGTAGTCTTCCTAATGATATGTACATACCAAAGTCTTACATGACAAGCCAGCCTGCCTATTTTTTCAGAACCATCTAACTTTTCAGGATGCGGACAAAAATTATTCATCTTTACATGTGAAGATTCCTGTCTATTTTCAGCTTTGTGCCAGATGGCTTCTTAAGCTTTAGATAAATTAACTGTTATCCACCTGAGATAAGCTCCCCACAGAACCGTGGTATTTAACTGTTCCTCACTTCTCTGCTCGGTAGCTTCCCTGAGAAAAGCTCTCTGAGTTTTGAGTGGCTGATGTACCTGCATTTCCTCGTTCTAGGGGGCTTGGGGATCGGTGCAAAAAAGTCCTGAGTTCAGCATAGTTCCCAAACTTCAGTGATTTGAATTGCTCTCTGGAGATTTTTGAAGACCATGGAGAGGGGAAGGTGCCTCTATGGGAAAGGGAGATGTCTAACAGAAGCTGTTGGCCTACTAGGGCCAAGTTTGCATAAATTCTGACTATTGCAGGTTAGAACAGGATTTATACTAACTTAGTTTTGGGTCAGCTAATCCTGGAGAAAGTAAAACACCAATTTAGATCTCAGTTTAGAGGTTAATGTATACCCTGTGGGGTCGGAAGGAGGGCAGTATAGGTAAAAAAAACCAACGTGCCTTTCAGTGCAAGAGTGGCATTGTTTTAGAGTTAGGCTATGTCACCAGTAAGAGCTATTTGAATAATGAGGAAGATAAATCCTAGTGGCCTCAGCTAAGGAAAGGAGTACAGAGCTTATCCCGGCCTGTTAAATCCTGGAAGTCTGAAAACCTGGAAGACCTTATGAGAAACCTGCATTGACTAAACCAAATCAAAAACCTTTGGATGAATGAATACAAAGGCAATGTGGGACGAAGGGAATGAGTCTAAATTGAAAGAAGAGTTGCTTAGGTTTAGCTAAATAGATTTCATAGTGATTTTACTCTAAGTTAGGATGATTTCAGGGCTGATGAGATGAGAAAATCTGGAAAGATTTTTTGGTGTGGAACAAACATGCTAAAGGACCTGCATGTTGAGGCAATGGGAAAAAGTGATATGCTGCATTATTTCTAGTTTCATGTCAGTCATCTGGGGTTTTGAGTTCGAGCTACTATGCTTAGCACTGAAAGTTTCTTTAACAAATTGCTGCTGAGATAAATGGGGAACATGATGATGAAGTGGTACAGGCTGTAATTTACGGCAATTTTTGTTGGGTAGGAGGAAAAGAACCTTGTCTTCCTGAAAAATACATAATCCATATTTCTCAGTAGTTCTACCTGAAGAGTAGACCGTACAGTTATTGGGGAAGAAAATATTTAAAGTGATTACTTATGTTTTCTGCAAAATAATATTAATTTTTTTTCTTCTCCACAGTAAAGCCAACAGTTATTGATGTTGACATTTATGTCAACAGCATTGGTCCTGTGTCATCAATAAATATGGTAAGTGACTTGCTAACAAAGATTTTTATCTGGACTGCTGGTTTTGGCATCAATACTAGCTTTTGAAAAAGACAATAAATACCACTGGGATAAGTTGTTTTGATTGCTGATTTAGTTCTGTTTTCAGCTATAGCTCTGTTTTTCAGATGACTTTTGTGTCTCTTCAAGAGAAGAACAAACCTACAAGCAATATTATGCTCTGTGTTGTCTACCACAAAATGCTGGTAGGTCTTGAATGGTAAAATAGCCACCTTAGGAAAAAAATAAATATGAAGCAAAGCTATTGTCAAGAAAATTCTTGAATTAATGATTCAAGAGTGAATCGAATATACAGAGCTTCATAATGTGGAGTTAATGAGAGTCATCGCATACTATCGGTATATTTATTTGAAATTCATCATCTCTTCAGTGGTTACTTTTCTTTCACTGAGTTATCAACAATCTTTAGCCTTAAAGCATAATTTTGAAGAAGTTATACATAGCTGTACTGCATGTGTAAAGGCAGGAGAAACTGAAAGAGTCTGTCTGATAGTGTGACAATAGTGAACCTGGCAAAACATAACAGTTGGTCAGTTGTTGTGGTCGTCTAACTCCAGGACATTCCTCAGTTCTGCAGAAACACATTCAGATTTAGAAAGCGTAGCTGGTAGCTTCAATTCAAGTTTGAATTCAGCACAATATTCCTCTTTGTAAACTAGGCTGAATTTTTTCTTAATACAACTTGGAAACGGAGGACCTGATAATATCTTAATTTACATAAAGCTCTTATACTAACCTCTTCAAAGCAATGACTTTCTCTTTTTCACAATGACATTCAAAGGCTGCTGTGTACAATGGTCATATAGGAATCTAATAAATGCACTGCATGTATGTTTTGTATTTTTGGAACAAAAGCTGCTGAATTTGAAAGGTAGTCATTCATCCCGATTATTTGGTTTTGCCTATGTATATGGGAGAATGTAAATTATTGCAGCGTGTCAAATACTGGGTGGTCAGAGACTCCTATGCCCCCTGACAATGGGAAAACTGGCAAGTAAAGACAGAACAAATTATGTGCTGGGAACAACTTGGCCACTTACTCAAAGAGTGTGAAATGTATTGGTCATATTTCATGTGAAGCACTGAATGTCAAGCGATGGGAGTACCTGCTCCATTCTTGAACTAATAAATAGCTAATTATCTTGCCTTTCCCTGACTGCATACCAAAATGACTTGTCCAGGGAATGATTTATCGGAAAATCTATTCTGCTTATGGTCCTCTGGCTTGCATTTATGTATACTCTAGGAATGGGTACTCTATTCAAAAGTAGTGGGGACAATGGTGAGGATGCTTACTTTTCAAAGTCTTTTCACTCTTTGCCCCTCTGAATTAGCTTGTAAATATCATTTTGGGGTACTGGAAGTGTATGTGGAATAATAATTAAGAAAGCATTTGATCGGAACTGCTTCAGGGAGGAAGAAGGAAATAAAAATAATAGAAGGAACCAGCGGTTCTTGGAAGATTATTATGGCACAGTCAAATCATGACTAGTTTACTTATCCCTTAACTTTGAGTTCAGGATATCTTAAGGCACCAAGACGGAAAGATGCACCACAATACCAATTTAAAAAATGCATACTGTATCTCTTTGATAGTAGATGGTCTTATTAGGATAGTTAGTGAGTGTATGGCATAGAGGTATTTCTTGGTTACAGCTGAAAAAAACTGTGTATATTCTGTAAGGGCAGAATGATAAATAAAACAATGATGAAAGATGAAATATAAAATGTAGGTACCTGAAGTTTTAAGGACTCAAGTGTGCTTAAAGCTGTATCTAAACTTTTGCATAGAAATGGACCTTGTTTCAGATATGCTTGTGGACAGTATATCCCACTGAAACTGAATCTGAACTAGCTAAGCACTTTTGAGTTTTACTTCTGTTCTCAAACCTAATTACCAATATAGGAGATTAACATTAGGCACTCAAATATAGCAAACTCTTGTCCAAAATCTCCATTTCTGCTCTTTTACTTTGCAGTTTGTCCAAACCTACATGAGAGAGCAGGAATAAAAAAAGCTTGCAGTCTCAAATTTACAATGAAGATGGAAGCCCTCCTCACAAACCTACAGACTGTGGTGCTGTATGATAACTTGTCTCTCCAGTGGCAGAACTGATTGAGGAGCTACTTTTCCCCCCATTTGTGTTATTTCAACTGTTTGGCTACAGTATGCAGTAGCTCTGTGATGCCCTACTGGGAAAAAAAAATTAAACAAATTTTGAAATTAAAAATAATAATTAAAACATAATTTATTTATTTTAAGTAAGCAGTTTTTCATATAGCCTGTGAACTGCTGGAGCATGGGTACACAAACAGCTGAACAGAAACAGTAGCTGGAAATTACCTGTGGCAGAGGAAGAGGAAGGAAGGGACCATCTTCAGTCTGATTCCTACCATATAACTGAACTCTCAAAGGGAGAGGAATGTGTCTGAAAATCGTGTACAGAATTTAGAATAGTATTCTGGGAGAAAAAAAAGAGTATTCTTGCGAGAATCTACATATGCTATATTTCTCAGCAGGAGAGGAGCTTTTAGCTTTTCTCCCCTAAATTATTATTAAAAGTTGAGCAATTCTGTCAAGGCAACTCGGCAAGATGGTAGTTGATTGGGCAAAAAGAAAGATGATTACATTGATTTCCATCTCCTATTTCAAGAGTGAGATCATCAACATGTACAAGGAGGACTTCCCTGCTGTGTACTTCCAAACTTAGCCCTTAGCTCTATCACTTTTTTCTTAATCTGCAGCACTTCTGAGGGAAAATCATGTGGAGCTTCTCTAGAGATCAAACTCTGCAGGTATATTTTCTTCTCAGTTTTCATCAGCGCTTTTCATCCTGTGGGTGAAACCTAGGAAGTAAAATAATTTACTTTATCTATTCAGTGGGTGTTCCGTTGAATGTTCAAGCCAATTTCGTAGAGCAAAGCTTTTCAGATGTCAATAACTTTGTTGTAATTGTGATTAGACTTGAGTATGAATATTAATATCTCATTGTTTCTTTAACAATCAGGAAAAAGACAGTTGCTACCAGACACCTACCTACAGCAAAGATAACCTCAGATGAATTCTATGTGAACACTTGTGGCCCTGAGGAAAAAGAAATCCTCTTAGACTGAGGCTGGAAGTGCCACAAGGGGAAGAAATGTTAGGGATCCGTTCAAAAAGGCTTGCAGTCAAGGGAAAGGTAAAGTTCTCTGTGACAAAGAGGACATAATCCACAGGAATATACGGCTGACCCTGCATTCCAGACTGTTTGCAGAGGGTTTATGCCACTTCCCCTAAAGGACTTACCAGTGATTCATTTCCTAGTTGCTTTCAAAAATATCTATTTAGAACCTCAAGGTTTCCAGAAAAAACAGGAGTGATTGTGAGAAGGTAATGTAGATGCTCTTCTATTAGAGACTCATCATTATAACATCTTTATGATGACAATAGAAACTTGTTTTCTGGATAGACAGTGGTGACCCTTCCTTTGTCTGTGACGTGGAAGATTCCTTTGGGGCATGGTCTAAAAAAAAGCTAATGTTAAGTAGCAAGAAATGGGAATTGTGTAAGAATAAAGAAGTAAAAGCAGGCAGAATAATGAACTGAGTGATACTAGGAGGTAGTCTCACGTGGCAGTGGCTTTGAAGAAGAAAGTAATTTCAGCATTTTGAGCTATGGCATGATGTTATGAAATGACAGAAATGATTGATACTAGCCAAGAGTATTTTGAAATTTAAAACTCAGAGATGTTTGAATGCCCATTCAAAAAATTTAGGGTGGCTTTTTAACAGAGAAAAACCATCTATGGTATAAATATCTTGCTGCCTGTCCTTTATGAAAAACATAATAGGATGTGAGCTTGGACTGATTTAAAAGAAACATAAAGTGATTGATTTAAAAGTAAATGACACATGGAAGTTCTGAGCCAAATTAAATCTTTCTGTGTGCATATTGTATCCCTTTTTCTTGGTTTTCATCTCTTCATAAAGTAAGTTACAGAAATCTGCAACTTGCCATTTCATGTTATAATGTCATTAGAGACCCTGACTTGTAGGATGCAATATTCATATCTATCGCAAGATTTTATTTCAACCTTTTCTGTATTTAAGAACTTTGTTATATCTGTAATCATAATGAACATGCTTCCACTGCTGTTAGGGATATTCTAAGTCAGTTTTTTAAATGTAAAAATTCATCTGCAATCTTGTTTTTATTTTTTCCCCACACTTCATATTGTAAAACAGGTGTATGAATTCCAGGTCACTCAGTTTTCATATCTCAGTGTCTTTTTTTTTTAACACTTCCCATTCAAAATGGTGTCCAGGAAGCATATGCTTTTGCATTAAAATCCATGCTCCAATTTTTGTCAACAACCCAGTTCTTGTCAATAACAGCAAAGATTTATGAGTTGCGTTATAAAACTTAGATCTTAATGTGGCTCACTGTAGCCTGGTTTTCTACAGATAAACAGTACTGGCTTGTGTATAAAAGAACAGAAAAAGGAGAGAGACCGTGCAAAATGCAAAGTGGGAGTCAGATGTAACTGATGGGAAAAAAGAATGCCCTGGAAGTAGTTTTGTGAGACAGAAATGCAAACACACTGAGATTACATAGACTATTAGATCTCAATAGCATCAAAGTCTGTGTGTTTGTGTGTACACACATATAGTCTTAACTGAGTAGCTACAGGAATCTGAGGCTGCAGCACAAGTTGCTGGTGAAGGAAGAATTTGACACCTATATGGTTTTAGCAACTGGAATCTCAGTTTAATGCAACTGTACAGAAAGTATGTTGAAGAGAGTGTGAGAAACAAGCTTATATACTGTACTTACCTGTTCATAAAACTATTAATAGGTTATCTGCTGGTTATACGTTCATCTCTTTATTCTCAGGTAATCTGAAAAGGTAATTCATAGAGTGTTTCTTTTGTGTGTTTCATCACTTCATTCTTTTGTGCCCACTCTCTAGGCTATATCATATGTCTTTATGGATTCTGTATTTCCCTTTTGTTCAGTTAAGTGTTGTAGAATAAAAGCAATCTTTACTCTTTTTTGCCCCTTAATGTACTGATAGACTTCTTTGAACTTCAGTTTCAAAGTCCCCACATGCTCATTTTGCTTCTCCAGTAGACATGATAGGTATTTAAAAAAATAGTCTTGATGTGGAGACTTGTCTAAAATATTATTCAGAGCTTATGATTA